CCTCTTTACAGAGGGATTCCTTGTATGTTCCTCTCCTTTTTGCCATGAACAGGATTTTTAAAAGTAGATGAAGTTATAGTAGACAAGGAATCTACATTTTTGCTGATGTATTTTAGAGGTATGTGCAGCTCTGGGTTCCTAAGTTCAGAGCTCCCCATGAAGTGGTAGTACCCTAACCACACGTTTGTACCCTCAGTACGACACTGGGTCCATCTTCTGAAAACCAGTATTGTGAGGGTCCTGGATTTCAGCCCTGGATCTGGATAAAATAAGCCAGTTCATAGCTTCATAGAGGTTAGGGTCGGAAGAGACCTCAATAGATCATTGAGTCTGACCCCCTGCATAGGCTCTGCTAGCTTATGGCCATTTTTTCTTGTAACCCCCAGGGACACTTTGGTGAGTAGAGCCTCACCAGTTTATTGGCAGCCACAAGGTCGCCTCTCAACCTTCTCTTGCGGAGGCTGAAGAGGTCCAGGTGCCCTAGTCTCTCCTCATAGGGCTTGGCCTGCAAGCCCTTAACCATACGAGTGGCCCTTCTCTGGACCCTCTCCAGGTTATCCACATCCCTTTTGAAGTGTGGTGCCCAAAACTGCACACAATATTCCAACTGTGGCCTGACCAGTGCCCGATAGAGGGGAAGTATCACCTCCTTGGTTCTGTTTGTCATGCATCTGCTGATGCATGCTAAAGTGCAGTTAGCTTTTCTGATGACTTTTGTCACACTGACTCATGTTCATCTTGGAGTCCACTTGGAGTCCAAGATCCCTTTCCACTTCCGTACTACCGAGCAGGTCATTTCCGAGGCAGTAGGTGTGCTGGACATTTTTCCTCCCTAGGTGCAGCACTTTGCATTTCTCCTTGTTAAATCGCATTCTCTTGTTTTTTGCTCATTTGTCCAACCTGTCCAAGTCTGCCTATAGTTGTTCCCTGCCCTCCGGTGTGTCCACTTCTCCCCACAGTTTTGTATCATCTGCAGACTTAGACAGAGTACACTTCACTCCCTTGTCCAAGTCACTGATGAAGACATAGAAGAGTACTGGTCCAAGGACTGAGCCCTGTGGGACCCCATTACCCACGCCCTTCCAGGTCAATACCGACCCATCCACTACCACTCTCTGGGTACGACCCTCTAGCCAATTTGCCACCCACCAGACTGTGTAATCATCCAAGTCACAGCCTCTTAATTTGTTAACCAGTATGGGGTGGGATACTGTATTGAAGGCCTTCCTGAAATCTAAGTAAACTTATGCAGCACCTTTTATTTGGCTTTGTACACTTGGAGCAGAGTAATTCCTGTTCTTGTAGAAGGAGCTACTGCCTTATGGGCTGATCCACCCTGTCACTGTGCTGGTGGTTTGCTGGTACAATGTCTGCTCATCCTTCCCTTGTTTTGTTTTGTTTTGTTTTTTTTCAGAGAGGAGGAGATGGCCCGGTTTCATGAGGTCATCACAAACCCCTTGTACAAAGCTAACCCCCTGCTGGCCATCAGTGAACATCTGTCCAAGAGGATGAAACAGGAGGAGGGAAGCCTCCTCTAAGACTTCATGGGGGATGGAACAAGCACAGTGGCAATAGCCGAAGAGTCCCTGAAACTGAGCAAGCCTCTCCTGGATTGTACACTCCTTGGAAACAGTCCAGCAGATTATTAAATTCAGTGGCCCTGTTTTCTGTCTACAGGAGTAATGTGATCATCTCCGGACACTGGCAGCTGCTCCTTTGCAAGTATTCCACAGAGGGCAGAGTGCTCTGTGGCATTTTTGTGTACAGATCAGACTTGCAGCAATGGGTCCCAATACCTTTTCTTTCCTTCTTGAAAGCACGCTTCTTAAAAGATTGTTGTTTCTGCTGCTTAGTGGAGGTATACCTATTTTCCTTTACTTCCTGTTATGACAGGCCTTTATAGAAATCCTCCAATATTCTTCCATGATGATCTGAAACACCTTCCTTACTGTTATGCTCTGCTGCATACGGATTAAAGAACAGAAAACTGCTGTAGATTTGTATAAGGGTCAACACTGCTCAAAGAGGTACTATTTGTATGAAAATAATCTTTAAAATAAACTGACATTTTTCTTACTGAGTTTGTCTATCTGGGTTCTGTTTTGGCAAATACTGGTGTAAGTATGAAGTAATGCTCATCACTGTGTCCAATTGCAAAGAAGAGAGCATGTCCTATTTTTTTTAAAAAGAGGACCCTAAGCCCATCTTTAAAATTAATGCTCCGCAGTAGGACCAAAAGCATTCACTCCAGTGTGATAGCATTACAAATCAGGCTCTAAACAAGCTAGAGAACTTGTCTTTCAGGCACTTGAGGTTACATGTATGGCAATGCTAATTCTTTCAGGTCTGTCCTGCATCCTTGGACTGGCCTGTCGTTTGGGAAGCACTGCTAAGATGCTATCGTAGGACACTCTGAGCATGAGCCATTCTTGCTCAATGGAGATAAAGAAAGGATGGCAAATAGCTTCTATATATAAAAGGACTCTTCTGATTTCTCATTGCTACCATATTTAGCTATATTAATTGGCAGCCAAGGAGAATGGAGGTCAGTACTAGAATTCTTTGAAGTGCTGGGGCTTTCCAGCGGATAACTAGGAAGATATCTCTACCAAGGTCAAATTTTTCACTTAGTTGAGGTTAGATCCACAGCTGACAAATGTGGGGTGACTGAGTTTGTACAGTTTCTGAATTTGTACAGTTCCTGAAAACCGAATTTTGATTTCTATGCTTATTTTCTTTTCCTCATTTTCTGTCTTGTGTGGATAAAAGATCTGGTCCACGTCTGTGGTATCTGTGTCAGAATTGTTAATGGAATACCTAAATGTTAAAATAGGTACAATTGGATCATTTAATTCAAAGAGCATGACTTGGATCTCCAAGGCTCCTAATGAGGTCATAGGTCGACATGGTGTTGAGCACAGGAAGCTAGAAGGAAATGTTCAGGTGGACTCACTGGAAGCTTGTTCTACTTTAGGTTGGGTTGTGATAATGGGAGGAGATGGCCGCCCCTTCCTGGGCATCCTATTTTGCTTGTCAGTGGGGAGGCAGGTGGGGAAATACAGGGAGGTAATACTGCACAACTCTAGGAGGGACCAGTTTAAGAGACTTACTGTTCCTTCAGCTCTACCTGTTCATTTCTTCCTCTCCCTACCCCCAAAAGGAAAAGAACAGGGGCCCTGGGATCCCTCTGGGCCTTCACAGTCTTGATCTTGAGAGATGTCCAGGCTAGAATGAGAAGCTTGGATGACCATTCTGTCTTGAACAGCAGGGCCATTTAGCTCCTGAACACCTGCGCTATTAGCCTTGGGTTTCTGCTTCCTTTCACTTCTCTTCCTGGGGATGTCACTTCCATTTTCTTGTTTCTCCTTTTGACTTGTGTTCGACAAGAAGGCAATTGGCAGATGTAGTCATGATCAGGGATCCAGGTTTTCAGTTTCCCATGAAAAAAATGTGGATTTTCTTCCCCTGCTGAAGGAGAAAAACATGGATTTTCCCCTTTTGCAAGCAGCTCTCTGCAGGTTGGCAGAGTTACCGCCTGCAAGACCTGCTTGAAACGGTGGGAAACCCTAAGCTGTGTCCAGCAGAGATGGGGCCTGAGAGTCTGTCAGCCAGGGCTGACCCAGACTCGCTTTCCATCCTGTGGTGTTTGCAGTAAGCACAGCTTTTGGGGGCAGGGGCCTGGGGGTGGCAGGCAGTGGGGGGCCCCCTCTGGCAGGGCTTTGGGGGTTTTGGGGGCTGCAGGGAGAGCCAGCAGGGCTGACGGGGGGGGGGGG